AAGCCTGCCATAATCCATTGGACACCTGCCTGCATCTGCGAACCCTGAACCCTGAAAACGTCTAAAGCCATATTTCCGCATAACCCCTTTTGTGCCATGTTACGCCTGCAGTCTCAAACCCTCTCCTCTATAAGCACCACATCGCAGAGTCGAAGGATCAACGTCTGCTTCACTGCCTATGCAGTGGCAACGACAGAGCAGGTAGCACACTGCTTCATGGCGCCGCTTGCCCTTGCTTTAGTGGGAAGCCCTTTTAGTTGCAGTAGCGGCAGCGTAGCAGTAGTAGTACCAGAAGTGGCAAGAGTGGTAGTAGTCGTAGTAGTAGTAGTAGTAGTAGTAGTAGTAGTAGAAGTAGTGCTAGTGGTAGTGGTAGTGCTAGCGGTAGTGCTGGCGGTAGTGCTAGTGGCAGTGGTAGTAGTAGTAGTAGTAGTAGTAGTAGTAGTAGTAGTAGTAGTTGTTGTTGTTGTTGTTGTGGTCGTCGTCGTCGTCGTCGTAGTAGTAGTAGTGGTAGTAGTAGTAGTAGTAGTAGTAGTAGTAGTAGTAGTAGTAGTAGTAGTAGTAGTAGTACTAGTAGCAGCAGCAGTAGCAACAGTAGCAGTAGCAGCAGCAGCAGCAGTAGTAGCAGTAGCAGTATGGCAGTATGGCAGTATGGCAGTATGGCAGTATGGCAGTATGGCTGTATGGCAGTATGGCAGTATGGCAGTATCGCAGTATAGCAGTATAGCAGTATAGCAGTATAGAAGTATAGCAGTATAGCGGTAGCGGTAGCAGTAGCAGTAGCAGTAGTGGTAGTAGCAGTAGTAGTAGTCGTCGTCGTCGTTTCGTATGGCAGCGGTGGTGGTAGTCGTAGTCGTAGTGATAGTGGTAGTTCTGGTGGTGGTGCTGGTGCTGGTGCTGGTGCTGGTGCTGGTGCTGGTGCTGGTGCTGCTGCTGGTGCTGGTGCTGGTGCTGGTGCTGGTGCTGGTGCTGGTGCTGGTGCTGGTGCTGGTGCTGGTGCTGGTGCTGGTGCTGGTGCTGGTGCTGGTGGTGCCGGTGGTGCTGATGGTGCTGGTGGTGCTGGTGGTGCTGGTCGTGGCGGTGGTGGTGGTGGTCGTGGTGGTGGTCGTAGTGGTGGTGGTGGTGGTGGTGGTGGTGGCCTAGTGGTCGTGGTCCTGGTGGTGGTAGTGGTGGTGGTAGTGGTAGTGGTAGCAATAACAGCAGAGACAGTACAACTGCTAGTGCTCCTGCTTCTGCTCCCACTCCTGTTTCTGTTGCTGCTGCTACTGCTACTATGCAACTGCTGCTGCTGCTGCTGCTGCTTCTGCTGATGCTGCTGCTGCTGCTGTTACCGCTGCTACTGATACTTCTACTATGACGGTATGACTGAGGAAGGGTTTCAGATTTGTTGTTTGTTGTGCAGAGGCCTGGCGCTTAAATGATGCTCAGGAGGGAGATCAGAAAATGATACTAGCTGCAACCATGGCATCACTGACGAATCATGCGCCGCCACCGGTTCGGTGTCGTACACATAATGTCTAGAACCTAGCCGGGACCTAGCCCCTTTAAATCTAAAAGGGCACCCTGCTTTATTCCCAGGTTATGTGCAACTTACTGGTTTTCTTTCTGCCCGGAAAGCTTTGTGTCACCGTGTATGTCGGCACGAAGTAGAAAATGCTCAAGCTTTGCTCAACGGCTGCGGTGGCATCATGCCTTGAACTTGACAGACACAACTAGGTCAGTCGGAGAGGATGCCCAATTGCTGTGACGCCTAAGGTTCAAGGTTTTTCTGGAGAGGCATTCACCCAGACCCTCCACTATGAGATCCTAAAAACCCCTGGTTTGGATCCATGTACCCCTGTTTGGGGGTACAAGCAGGGTCCTTGCAGGATCAGACTGTGACATGTTCGCAGAAAGGTATCCGTACGTATTGCCCCTGCATTCGGTGCAGGATCTGCGAAACTCACTCAGGTTTAGAGTTAAGCGTTTGGGGGTTGAGGGGTGTAGGGTTTGGGGTTTTAGTGAGTCCAGGTTACGAATACCCGAATAAGTCCCGGTTCGTCTTGCAGCAGCCCAGTCGGAAGTTGGTCCGTTGCCCCGATGCTGCACCTAGGTACTGCTATGAGGATGCTGCCGAGTCTGCCGCGCTTCTGGCCATACAGGTAGTGGTTTGTGGCTGCTTGGTATGATATTGGTGTTGGACTGTTCGACCCCCTACACCCCCAAACCCGTAAACCCTAACACTTGATGAGTGACCAACTTGACACGAATTGCATTGAAACAAGCCGTCTTCGGGTTCGGAGCGATTTTGCGAAATGAGCAGTGCAAGGTGGATGCTGCGGCATGCTGATCGCCATCCAACAATCCACCTATCCATCCGTTCATCCATCCGTCCATCCATGCATGAATGCATCCATCCATCCACCCACCCACCGATCCATCCATCGCTCCCTCCATCCTCCATCCCTCCCTCCCTCCATCCATCCATCCATCTGTCTCTGTAGTCGTTTGTCCGTCTGCCTGTCTGTCTGCCTGTCTGTCTGTCTATCTGGCTATCTGTCTATCGGTCTAGCTAGCTATCTGTCTAGCTAGCTGTCTAACCTGCGTCACCATATAACTATCCATCTATCTATCTGCTTTATCGAGTCATCTGCCTATCTATCTGTCTACCTATCTATCCATCTATCTACCTATCTGTCTGTCTGTTCGCCACTTGCTGTCGTGCACAAGTCTAGGCGAATATCCATAGTCGAAATAGATGGCATTGCAGAAACACGTGCGCACTCAAGCGTACTCAAGCGTAATCTGACGCTTCGGCGCGAGTGTGCGCGTGTTATAGAGAGGGAGACAGAGAGAGACAGGGACAGAGATAGATACTCCCCCAACCTCCCTGCGCCCCTGTGGTGTTGGTGTGGTTCGGGCTTTGCGTCCGCCTGGAGTTTTGGCATGATCATCATGGTGGCTGGAATTCCCTGTGGTGTGGTTCGGGTTTGGGTCTGCGTCGGTTCTTTGGTATGTTCAGCCTGTTTGGTGGACTCTACCCTGCCCCGGTGGTGCGGTGTGCACGTGGGGCGAGCCAAGTGACCGCACAGGAGAGGAGTACACAAGGCGGGAGGCAAATGGGGTACCATGGCGGGGTCGGTGGAGGGATCAGGCACTGGATCATACATTATATATATATATATATATATATATATATATATATAGAAAATACATATGCATATACATATGTATATATATGTATACACATGTTGGGGTAGTGGGGGTTTGGCAGGGGAGTGAGGGACGAACGTTGAAGTTGAATGGAAATGAAGTGCAAGGATGCTATGGCTCCCTTACCCTGATGGCTGTCTTTGGGATCATTTCATGGCAGGCAGGAACATCGGGCACAAGGGTCTAGGACCCAGGGTATAGGTCATGTTGTTTTCCTCTGACCCCAAAATAGTTGAAGTCGGGAGCCTGGGCAGGACGAGCAGATGATCATCACATTCTTCGATGTCCTGGCAAAGATCTTGATTTCAGCCTACGTCACGAGCAACTCGTCTGACTGGCATCTTCCCTCAGCCAGATCCAGAAATTAGAAAAGCTTAAGGAATCCTTGTGTTCCAGTGGACTTATGCAGACAAGTGCGGACGGGTGATTAGGCACGACATTTGAGTGGTTGTCAAAATTATGGTCCCTTTTTGGGTCCTTATTATAATACGGCACCTAATATTTCGGGTACCCAAAAAGCGGCCATCATTTTAACAACTACCCTTTTGTGAAGAGCAAAAGAGAGAAAGCTGAGGTTCCAGACGGACGAGGACCTCTCCAGATCAAACTTTAGGGTTTTAGGGTTTAGGGTTTAGGGTTTAGCCTGAAATTCCTCTGGCTTCCTGATAAGACTCGGATGTAGTCTACCCCAATACCCTATTGCAAGTAGTAAGGTCCCTGTACTACAAGCCTCAAGCTATGAGGGTATAGGTATTCAGGAGGTGGCATTGCTTCATGGTTGTCAAGAGTTCGATCGCCGCCTCAAGCCCCAAACCAGAAGCCTTAAGCCAATGAGTACTCCTCGGCTCGGAAGTGAGTGGTCTTGGGCTCTCAAAAGAGAAATACTAGTAGATGGCCAGTCACTGTAAAACGATCGCCAGCAAAGTCACTAGACTGTTTGTAAGACGACTAGCAGGAGGAGTGAATAGGAAACAAAACGATCCAAAGCCCTAAACCCTAAAACCCTAGACCCCCTCAACCACCTAAACCCGAAAAGATCCGAACCTCTGCTTGCAGGCCAGATTGACGCTTCATGTGCAGGGAAAGCAGCTTCTGGTGTGTAGCTCAAAACTTCAAACCCCCCAACCAGAGACCCTAATCATTACCATGCAGTGAAGGGCAGCCCCATCCCGAAAGTGAGGAACAAGCACGTCGAACAGAGTATCAAATTTGCAGTTCGTATGTAATAACAGAAAAATGGTAGTAGATTCCAGTAGTAATTATCATAATGATACTTGTCATCCCCCACTCGGAACAAAAACCTCAAATTGCAGACCGTAGAGTAGCTAGGTAAGCCTCAGATGCCCTTCATCCCCGTGAGCACAGACTGGGGCCTCAAGCCGATACCGACCCACATCCTCAGGCCTCAGTCGAAGAGCAGATGTCCGGTTTAGGCTGGATAGTATAGTATATTACCTTGCCTTCTGCTTCCTTTGGCCTCCCGGGGTGGTCGCCCGGGGCGCTGCGGTGGTGTCAAGGGGGCTGATAGACAGTCCCTGGCGTGGGCCTGCCGTGGCGTGCTCGGGTTGACAAGGGAGGGCCTCGAGGTCGAGAGGCTCTGCTTGGGCGATCATCCTGCTGAGACGCAGTCTGTGTCCTCCTAGTGCTTCTTAGTTGCTTCTTTGCTGCTGCGAGAGCAGCTGGCGGCACCCGAGCACACTACCATACCTTTGTTTCTGCTACTTCCACATGCGTTGTAGCGCAGTTCGTTCTTTGTTCGTGCTACTTCCACAGGCGTTGTAGCCCCAATATCTGTCAGATCGATGAGATACCTGCTGTTGGAAGGCGCCCTCCGGATTTGTTAGACTCTGGATATTATAGTATATTGTAGTATATTATAGTATATTATAGTATATTGTAGTATATTATCGTATATTGTAGTATATGTTTTTATAGTATATCATAGTATAGTTTAATGTGTTCATGCCTTATAAAGCCCCGTAAGCTTTTCAGAGCACTTCTGAAGCCGATGAAAGGAAGGCCTTTTTTGTTGTAGCCTGTGCCAGGAGCTGCGTGCAGTTACTGGGTACGCGGCTTGTGGCAGCCAACATCGCAGAGGATGTTCGGCGCATGGTTCGTCATGCCGGCGTCCCTATCTTCAGTGTCGGTAACTTGCAACCGTGTAAATTTCAGGTGTTGAGGTTGAAAGTTATCTCTCTGTAGGGCTCCGATTACCTAATTAGTAGGCTACAAGGCATAGAATATACGACCCAGTAACCCATAATCCTCAACCCCAAACCCTATAACTACAAACCCTAACCCTAAACCCCTAGACCCAGAAACCCATAACCCTCAACCCCAAACCCTATAACTATAAACCCTAACCCTACACCCCATACCAAGTAACCCATTATTAAGCCTATAACTATACACCCTAAACCCCTAAACCCAGTAACCCATTATTAAGGTAACTTGGGTAGTATTATTAGGGAGACCCCTTGAAGGGTACCCCTTCTGAACCCTACTTCTGGCTCTCTTAAAAGAAGGCCTTATTGAGAGGGTCTATATCCTCAAGGGTCCCCCTAATCCTAACTCTCAAAGGGGAAAAGGAGGGACCCTTAATAAGGACCCCTAGGTATATACCCTTATTATAGCCATTATGTGGCCCATTATAGGGTAGGGGTCCCCATTAAGGGTCCCTCCTATTCCCCTTTGAAACTCCCATACCTAAACCCCTAAACCCAGTAACCCATTATTAAGCCTATAACATCCTATAGCTATAAACCCTGAACCCCTAAACTCAGTAACCCATTATTATTATTACCCTAAGGCTCAAAATAGCCCAAAAGCCTTATATATAGTATGGTCTTTGGGCCTAAAAGCCTCAAAATATGAGTCCTTAGAGCCTAAGGGTTAAGGTAACTGGAGCCCGGGGTAGAAGCCAGAAAGTTGGAATATCATTATCATAACCCCTTTTAAGGTAAATTATAGGGGATCCTACCATTAATCCATATTCCAACTTTCTGGAGTTCCCTTTATTAAGGTAACTGGAGCCCAGGGGTCTGGTAAAGTTTGTAGCGGGCTCTCGTGGCCCGGAAATGCTGCTTAAGCCGAGACTCCAGATCTCGAAGCCGGCCTCAGGATATTCGATTTAGGGTCTAGAGATTAGGGTTCGGGTTTAGGGTTTGGGGTTTAGGGTTTAAGGTTTGGGGTTTGGGGTTTAGGTTTAAGGTTTGGGGTTTAAGTTAAGGTTTGGGGTTTCGGGTTTAGGGAGCCATTCACCCTGGCATCCACAGCTCTCCTTTACCTTCTGGCTGTTCTGGTGGGACTCCACGACCAAAATGATGCCAAGAACAGGGCTTACACTAGAAGCCTAAACGCTGGAAACCCAATAGCCTCAATCCTTAAGAGTGATGTATAGGGAATCCCAGCACTATTTGGCCTTAATCCGGTTTCCAACTTTCCGAGGTTTACTGTAGGGTGCTGGGCTTGGGGTTCGAACTCTGCAGGGTAGGGGCTTCAACAGTTGCCAATACATGCTGGCGTTAGTTATTAAGCTATTATGAGTATAGTACAATAACCCTATTATAATACTAGTCTGGCGTTAGTTATTAATAATTATTAAGCTATTATGAGTATAACAGAGAAAAAACCCTATTCCAATTATTACGGCCCCTATAATCACAGTCTCGCCTTCGCTGTCGGCGGGAATGGCACGTGCTCACACTTGTTTAGACGCTGCGTAACCTCCATGCCCCGAAAACCTTGGCCCCTATAGCCTCTTAACTCCTGTACCCTCAACGATGTATACCCCCAGCTCTAAACCTGAAGCCCTGTCATTTTCCGTACCCTACACCCTGTTAACCCCCGACCCTACACCATAAATTCTGGAAGCAGCCCCAAGGTAGAGATCTCCGCATCACGGAATGGAACATGATGCTTGTCTGCTACGACTGAGCTTTTGCGAGTTAGAGCTTGGGATTTTGGGATTTGGGGCCCATGCCGCGCTCACAGCATCCCATGGACGGCGGAGTGTCTGCAAAAGGTCAGGTGCGAGTATGTGCTTGAGAGAACTAGGGTGTCGATTCACGTCAATTGCTTTCCATGTGAAATTGCAGTGAACAGCCAGGCGCCTCCGATGAGAAGTGATCTTAGAATACGGACCCCAAGTGGGAGTGTGGACCTGTTATCGGTCACAAGAAACCGACACCCCAAGCCGGTCGAGGTCTAGGACTGATGCACCAAGACCTCCAGAACACGAGCCATTCCGTCCAGGCTAGAGGCTACTTAGAGGATCATGGGACTTAGTATGATTATAAGTACCTCAATTGGGGTTATATAAGTAATTTTAAGTATAGTTACCGTAATAGTAACCCTTCTTACTAAGTCCCATGATCCTCCAAGTACAGGGCTTAGCGTTCAAGGAGTCAAGTCTCTGAGGCCGTACCTCTAGTCCCCATATCAGCTCCTTTTTTTTGGAATAACAACTTCAAGTCTATAATAAGGATCCTATAGGGTAACCCCCAAAATGAACTACAATGGAGACTATACGTATGTCGCAGACTGGAACCCAGATCCTGATTTTGACGTTGGCCTTGTGAGCGAAATAGATAGGAAGGGCACCCGCCAAGTAGATGTACGTAGGCATATCATCTCTTCAAAGGGCACTTCAGGGTTGCTATATGGCTTCATATGGGTGGTTGTCAAAATTTAGGCCCCTTCTTGGGTCCCTAATATAATACGGCACCTAATATTTAGGGTGCCCAAAAAGAGACCCTAGTTTTGACAACCACCCATATAAGGGCTCCTTTCAGGGTTATTGTAGTTACGGGCAAAGGAACGGAATCGGAGGGGACAGTTATCGTATCTGCCCCACACAGTGTGCTCCTGATCCTAAGATGGTCCTAGTCAGCGGGTCAAAGGGCTTCAAAAAGTTGCCAGTATTATTATTGGGTTTGTTTGTTTTGAATATACATATACTATAGTAGACACCGTTTCCCCGTTCTAATTGGAAAGGCCTCCACATTAGAGTTTAGGGTTTAGGGCAAGCCGCTTCTGTGTACCCTGTCGCCGCTCTGAGGGTGCATGTATCGACTATTGCTACTTACAGATTCACAATATGCTATGAACATATTGTTAGGCGACTCTATTCCGGCAACACATTACAGAATAGTCGCGCGACTGCAAAGGTATTGGTTCGCTCTTCGAGGTAAGTTTCATATCTCCATCGAAAAAGTTCCTTCTCACGTTGGTATTCCCGGCAACGAGCTGGCAGATAAGATGGCGCGTGCAGGGAATGACTCCCTCGGTAGCGTAGGCCGTTTTGCACGAGTTCCGTCACGTAGCCTACAGCCTCCTGACTCTAATGTGGACCTCACTGTTTGGGAAACCATGACGCTCAATGATCAGAATACGTTTTTCCGCAGGACCATAGACGAGGCGAAAAAGTTGATTCCCGTTCTACCTCTTCAACCCCGCAAACCTTGGATTTCGCGAGATACCTTGGAACTCGTAACTAAGCTCAGGGATTCCAATGAGCTTTCTCCTGAAGAGGTAAAAGCTTTCAGGAATTGTATCAAAAAGTCCGCCAGACGGGATAAGCGCTTGTTTGTAAAGAACCGTCTTTCGAAAGACTACGAAAGCACTCCGTCTCAATGGACGACTCTCCGAAAGCTCCGAAAACCGTTCTCTTCGAAAACTCCGGGAATCCGGGACTCTGAGGGGAAGCTGCATTCCGCCAAACAAAGACCCGAAGTCTTTTGCAAGTATCTCACGCAGCATGTTTGGAAGAGTGTTGACGAACAGATTCCACCTCAAAACCCCTTACACGCAACAATTCCGGAAATCTTCCGCCCCTTTACGGAAGAGGACTTGTACCAATGTTTGAAGCAGTTGCAAATTGGTAAAGCCACCGGGCCAGACATGATCCCTGCAGAGTTGATTAAGCGTGCGCCGTATGTAGTCCAAATGTTTTTTCTTTCCCACTATAACAAGTGCCTCCGCACGGGGTCCATCCCGGACGCGTGGTTGCTTTCGGAAGTGGTCATGCTGGTTAAAGATGCTCGCAAAGACACGCTTTCGCTCGACAACTATCGGCCTATCTCATTGACAGATGTTTTCTATAAGTTGTATGCCGCTCTTTTGCAGAAGAGGTTAGCATTCTACATTGATCCTCGCATTAGAGCAACGCAATATGGTTTCCGTCGGGGTAAATCGACGTCTCAGCCCATTCACGTCTTGCGTCGATTAATTGAAGCGCATGAAAGACAAGAGAGCCCGCTGCATTTATTGTTTGTCGATTGGGCCAAAGCTTTTGATAGCGTGTCGTTTGCGTCTATAGAGCGTTCTTTGGTTAGGCTGGGTGTCCCCGTAGCGTTCGTGCAGGCCGTCATGGCCATTTACAATCACCCTCAGTTTCGAGTGAAGGATTCGGGCTCCACTTCAGAACTTGGTGTCCAATCTCGTGGCGTTCGACAAGGTTGTCCACTCTCTCCTTACCTCTTCGACGCCATCTTGACATGTTTGTTTGCAGATGTTGAAGAATCCTATGAGAAGCAGTTCGGTATTCTGACGGGTGTACTAAGGGTCCCATCTTGTTTGTGGGATCTCGAATACGCGGACGACACGGTACTCATGTCACACTCTTATGTGCAATTAAATCGACTTCTCCATTTGCTGCAATTTCACGCTCTTAAGATAGGGCTCCAGCTCAATCTGGACAAGTGCAAACACCTCCCCATACATACCCACCACAGAGTCCAATACACTGCGGATCCGCATTGTGCGTGTCAGTGCCTTTGTTGTGGAGGCCAGTCGCCGGTACATGGTGGACATGTTCCCGTTGTAGATGAAGTGAAGTATCTTGGTGTATGTCTGGATGCAACATGTAGTGCCGGAAGCACCGTCAGCCAGCGTATCTCCAAAGCAGTTGCTGCCTCTAAGCAGTTAAAGCCATTTTTTAGCCATTCGGGGCTGCCCTGTAAATGGAAGCTCACGGTATACCGAACTATTGTGATGTCGATTTTGGCATACGGGATGGAGTCATGCAATCTGTCCCCGTCCCAACAACGTCGGGTAGACTCCCTACATTTCAAGAACTTGCGCCGGATCTTTCGGAAGAAGTCTTCATACTACCACAGGGTTATAGCGCCTTCGGACGTCCCATGT